CATCCGGTCCGGTTCGGTTCTGAACCGTGAAGGTTCACGGTCCGGTTAAGATTCACATTTTTTTTGAAGCTGAACCGGAACCAGACTGGAACCGTGAAGGAACCGGATGAACCGGGAATGAACCGTGAACCGGAACCGTATATGAACCATCAACCGGAACCAGGAATGAACCGTGAACCGTGAACCGGAACCGTGAATGAACCGTGAACCGGAACCGGTAACGAATCGTGAACTGTGAACCGTGAACCGGAACCGTGATGAACCGTGAAATATTTTGTATTTTAAAAGTTTAATTTTTATTATTTAAAATATTTTTATTTTTTTCATTTAAAGTTAAAATGAAATACATTGTACATAGGGGTATGCAAAACCAAACTAATTAACTAAACTAATTTTTTAAAATTTGGTTTAGTGTTTTTAAATTTAGTTTGGTTTGGTTTGGATTAAAAAAATAATTCAAATTTATGGTTTGGTTTAGTTTAAAAATCAAACTAAACCATTCTAAAGTAAAAACCAAAATTTTAAAAATATTTTTGTTTCATAAAAAAATACACACACGTTCATATATTTATATGAACATATATGTGTGTGTACACCAACACACATACATACATATGTACTTATATAAACACACATATGTATAACTTTTATCCACTCATATAAATATAATATATATATATATACATATATTTATATATAATATAAATATATACATATATACACACACACACACACATGCACACACACACACATGTAAATATATATATGTGTGCATGTACGTATGTATACATATATAAATAGGTAAATATATGTATTTACGTATTTATGCATACACACACACAAACACATATATATTTCTATATTTTTATGAATATATATATATGTTAATATATAAACATATACATGAATATATATGTTATGTATATATATACACATACAAATATATATACATGTAACATATATATATATATATACGCATACTGAAATTTTAAGTTTAGTTTGGTTTGATTTATAATTAAATTAGATTAATTGGTTTCTAAAATATTAAAACCAAAAAATCAAACCCAATTATCAAAAACTAAACTAATATTATGATTTACATATACCCATACCCATATGTATGTGTACGTATGCATGCATACATATATATTTTTATATTTATATGAGTATATACACACACACACACACACACACATGAATATATCCATATATGTATGTATATACAAGTACACACACACAAACATACATATACTTGCATATATATACAAATTTGATAATAAAAAATTAAATAAATAATTTATTTTAAAGTATTAAAATAAAAAAAATCAAAAAACAAAACCAAATTATCAAAAATCAAACCAAAATTATGGTTTGCACACCCCTAATTATATGTAATAAAATGTTAGAAGAGTTATGAGTTCCATCTATTAGTCAATAAATTAAAGTAACTAATTTATATATATACAAAAGGAAAATTTATTTTTCAATGTTTAATAGTTTAAATAAATTAAAAAATATATTATTTAAAAATTTTCAAATGATTTATAAGTTAATAAATAAATTTTTTTGGTAAAATCAAATTGGAATCGAATTGAACCGCGGATGAACCAGAATCGAACCGAACCGTGAACGAACCGGGAACCGAACCGTTAATGAACCGGGAACCGAACCGTGAATGAACCGAAAACCGAACCGTGAATCGAACCGGGAACCGAACCGTGAATGAACCAGGAACCGAACCGTGAATGAACCAGAAACCGAACCGTTAATGAACCGGGAACGAACCGGAACCAGAACCGTGAACGAACCGGCCCGGAACCGGCATGAACCGTAACCGGAACTAGACCGGCTTTCAAGGTTCCGGTCCCGGTTCACATTTTTTTGGGACTGGAACCGGCGGTCCTGTTCTGGTCCGGGCCGGTTCAAGGCCCGTGAACAGGCCTATCTTAGATGTTGTTTTATTTGAGGATATTTATGTTGTTATGGTTGGATTAAACTTTGATTGAAGTGATTATGGTTGAAATGTGAGAGAAATGTGTGAGATGATGTTGAAATGGAATAAGGGCATGTTTGGTTAGAGTTGAAATGGGAAAAACGAGATTAAAGGCATGTTTGAATAAAACTCAAAGGTTATAGAGAAATTAAGGGTATGTTTGGATGAAACCCAAAGGTTAGAGAGAAATTAAAGGTATGTTTGGATGAAACCCAAAGGTTAGAGAGAAGTTAAGGGCATGTTTGGATGAAACCCAAAGGTTAGAAATGGAGGAAAATTTGTGTTTGTACGTTGTAGGGTATAGTTATTGTTTTTGTATAGTGTTTTTAGGAATTATCTCTCATATTGTGTATCCCCCCTTGTAGGAGAGCATACCCCAGTTATTTCAGACCCTGGACCTACAGCTTTAAGAGCACCATTGTAAGCTTATTTTTGCAGGTGGGTGGGAATCTTTCTAATCTTAGTTTATTTCCGCAAATTATGATTTACAATGAACAATGCTCATTTCAAACTCAAATATATGTTGTTACTGAAAACATGGGAAACAGTCCAGCTATGTTATGATTTCGAGTATATACTTAATTGCATGATTTTTATGAGTTTATGTTATTTTGGTGTCTTAGCACTCAGACTATGATGTCGGGCAGCCATCTGGGGCAGGTGGCAGCTCTACGTGTATAACATATATGTATGTTTATTGTCCCTAATGGGAAATGGACCATGCACCAAAGACTGTGTTAGCTTGGCCGGGGAGTGGCGGCCCCTAACGCGAGCTACACAGTGTAGTAGTGCCCGACATATTTATGTTTTGCCCAATGAGGGCCCATGTTATGTTTTATGATTTTACTGCCCCTAGACACCTTCGGTTGTGTACATCCGACCAGAGCATACATGTGAATATGATTATGTAATATGATTTTTATGATTTTTCTATGATGCCCACGAAGATTCTTATGATTCATGCTTATGTTCTCTTATGTTTTATAACTTACAAAAATAACAATTTAGCTTTTGGCATTGTTGAAAATTCAATTATTACGCCTCATGATATGAAACTCTTCAAGAATGATTATATTGTTTAAATTAATATAAAAACTGACTGTTTCCACTAGGATTAGTTTGATTACCATTCACTGGGACGTTGGTCTCACCCACTCATTTTCCCCCCAGTAGATACTGAGACATTAAGTTAGAATCTCGGTGTTCGTTTTACTTATGTTGTGTTTTGCTCACGTACTAGCACCAGGTGGGCCAGGCTGCGAGGATCTTTTTGATTATGTTTATATAGATTGGGATGAGTCATATATATTGGGAGGTTGTCTTTTTTTTTTTTTAGAGAATTTTTAAGTAATATGTGATGTTGATGTCTTATGAATGAATTACTATTGGTTAAGCTTATGTGATGATTTTTGAGTATAGCATGATGTTAGATGATTAATAAAATGTATTACAGGATGATTTATGCTTAAGCTATATATTGGATGAGTTATTGTAAGTTATGTTAGTATTGTGAAATTGATGATATTTTAAACAAGTACTCAGACATAGGGCCCTTGAGGCCAACTAGAAAGGGTTATAATAGCCGGCATGCTGCCAAATTTTACCCGGCGGTGTGTTGGTTATTGCTCGGCTGTCACGCCCTTTGAGTTGTAAATGGTTGGGGTGTGACATGACATGCTCTTCACTTTCGACTTTTCTTTTCCATTTTTTTTTTTTGCTTTTTAGTAAAACAAGAGTTGTGCCACTGTCAACACTTCAGGGAATTAGCGCGAATTGAAAATTTGCCACTTTTCGAGTTTAAAATTATTATTTCTTGTGAAAATTTAAATTTTTTTATATACAAATATGTAAAAGTTGTTGACAAAATTCAAAAATATTAGCTCAAAATTTTAATTTCTATAATTTTTGAAATTTTAAAATAATAAAACAAATTCTTGAAATGTCGTATTGGTAAACATTTGAGCTAAAAAAAAGTTAAAAAATTTAGGAAACAAACACGTCTAATGTGAGATATTTGGTGACCTTTTACCCAAATTGGACTAAATTATAACCCAAGGGTGAAAAAAATAAGTCAGGTGGAGGACATAAAAAAGTCATATATATTATAAAAATTATTAATCCCATCCTTACTTATAATTTATGATAGATTAAAAATTAGTTTTAGTCTAATTTATTTGTAAAACTGACAATATTTAACTTGACTTGTTAGACTATTGAATTAGACATAATTAAGTGTACAATTATTTTAATATTATGTATATTATGATATAAATTATATTTGAAATATATATATTTTAGGGTGATTTGTAAAATGCATATTCAAATTAAAAAAATTGACACTTTGTACCCTCGTAAGGTAAATAGTCAAAAGACTCTAGAGTGTAAAGGGTTAATTTTTTTAATTTGAGGGTGTATTTTGTAAATTACTCTATAATTTATATGCAATTATTTATATAGACTAATATGTAGATTTATGATTTATGAGTTAGGTAAAATTTGGTTATAACAAGTCTGTTTACATAAAAAAAAATAATTTTCTTAATTTAAACTTGATTTAATTAAATAAATAAATTAAATTAACTCAGACTAAAACAGGACAGGCCACGTACGGCTCGGGAGGATTCTGACTTAATTCTACCTCTAAACCCAAAAAGGGGCAAACTCTCTCCGTCACATATTTAAACCCAAGAAGAAGGCAAGCTCTGTCCGTCGGACATTTTGATCTCTTCCAAACACAATTATATTAGAAAAAGACAAAGTCTATTATTTATTTATTTTTGGGAATCTTTGCTTTATACATATAATCCTAAAACCTATATAGAGAATTGGGTAAGACAGATATCGAACACCTAGAATATCTTCAATTGCCAACTTCTGCACCACATACTGTTTTCTTGTTTTCTCTTTCTCCCCTTTCTCCTAACAATCTTTTTGCATCAGCTGAAATCTTCATATACATATATATATATATATATATATATATAAAGAGATAGAGAAAGCTAGATAGATAAAAGAGAGAATACTAATGGCTTGCGAAGTTTGCAAAGAGCGTTCTTTGCAGGAGACCCCAACATGGGTGGTAGCACTAGTCTGCCTTGTGATTCTTGTCATATCTATCTCCATCGAGCATCTCATTCACTACATTGGATCGGTGTGTATTTAGACATTTTGTTATTTGTTGCTTGTTGCTTCAAAATTAATAGTAATTCTTAGGGTTTTTTGGCATGGAATAGTTTAAACTTTTTTCTTAATAAAAAAAGTGGAAGTTTTTAAAATGTAAAAATTTTTTACGCGTTGTTGAGATTTCAAAAGTTCTAATTTAGAATTTTGAGAAAAATTTATATTTCAAACTCTAAAGTAAATAAATTTTTGAATTTTAAAAATACCAAACATCTCCGAAAATACAAAAATTATAAACTCATAATCTCTAAATTTTACCTATGTCAAGTATCTACTTATTTCGTGTTCTAAGTTCTTACTTTTCATATATGTAACGCCTTTAACTTTATCTTGTCAACTTTTAAATTATTTAAATTCTGAAGTTGAGAATTGCAAAACTGAAAAGTTGAAAGGATTAAAACCTACATTTTATTGATTCTGCATTTATATTTTTCAACCTTCTCAGTGGCTGAAAAAACTACAAAAGCAATCACTTTACGATGCCCTTGAAAAAATCAAAGCAGGTAGTTCCAAAACTAGCAATCACTCTTCACCTCACTACTTAATTGTTCATCGATTACATTTACACGAAACCTAACCCTTCTGTTTTTGTTTTTTGTTTTTTTGTTTCTTTTGGAATTGAAGAGCTTATGCTGTTAGGTTTTATATCCCTTCTCCTAACTATTGCGCAAGAGTACATTTCTGACTTATGTATCCCCAAGAAGGTGGGCTACTCTTGGCTTCCCTGCGGTCCACACGATAAAAATTGGAAAAAAACGTTCTACGAAGGCACGTGTAAAAAGGTGATTGGTTAATAATATCATTAATTTTATTTTTTGCTTCTTCTTGAATTAATTAAACATTTTTAAGTAACTAAATATGCTTTACCTTTTTTTTTTTTCCCAGGGTAAAGTCCAGTTTGCGACTGCATACGCTATCCACCAACTCCATGTGTTCATCTTTGTGCTGGCCCTCTTTCATGTCATCTATTGTGTTACAACGTTGGCCTTGGGGACGCTCAAGGTATTTTATTGATTATTATTTTCTTTTTTTTTTGTTGGGAAAATAGCTAGATTTCTCTCTCTCTCTCTCTCTCAAATTCCTTTCTGTTAATTGGAATAGATGAGAACGTGGAGGGCCTGGGAGGACGAGGCAAAGACGACTGAGTACCAGGACAGTCACGGTGGGTTTTTACCATCCTAATTGACAACATGTTATTGTAAAACTACTATAACTTTATTTTTAATAACTTGATTCATTTTTTCTTATTAATATTTATATTAAAGTATTACGGAGATAACACTAATCCCTTAAAATATAAAATGTAAAAACTTACCCTCTCAAATTTATAACCACCGCCAAAAATAATTTATGGAGTTAATATAATTGCTTATGTTATTATAATACCTTTTATTCTACACTGTCAAAATTGAAAATTAGCAAATGTTGCCAATAAAATAAGAGATTTCAATGTAATCAAAACTATTTATAATTTATTAAAAAGTTATCTCTCAAGTAATTTGTAAAATAATAGTCTTTATCGTAACCAAAAAATAAAAAAATAACAATCTTCATAATATTAATCTATAAATTGTGTTGTTTACTGTTCATAATTTAAGAAATATTGTCCATAAAATAATAGTTTTCATGCAACAAAAGAATTATAATTGATTGAAAAATTTACCCTCAACTAATCTACAAAATAATAGTCTTAATAATAATAATAATAATAGCCTTCATAGAATTAACCTTTTAACTTATACTATTTATAATTTAGTAAATATCTGTAAAATAATTGCCTTCATTGTAATAAAAAAAATTATAATTAATTAAAAATTGATTTATTATTACTAATCAAACAACTAACCAATGGGTATTACAAAAATATAAGCAACTATATTAATTCTGTTAATTATTTTTAAATATAATTATAATCTTGAGTAGATTAACTTTTATATTATATATTTCAGGGAGTAAGTGTTATCACCATAATATTTTAAGAGGATAAAGTGTATTTTACTCTATACTATAAACAATACATATTTGTTCACGTGTATATTTTTTATTCTCATTTTCTAGAATGGGTTTATAACAACCACAAGAAGGATAATTTAATCAACTCGTTGTTATTATCTGAAATTTGTAAATTTTACTTAAAATTTTTCCTGCATGGACAAAAGTTTTTGGATTTTCACTGAAGGCCCTGAAGAAAAATATTCCCATAATGACGACACCCCACTGGAATACAACTAAAGGCTGGTAGCTCTGATCAGCAATATTAGTCATAGACCCAATAGCATTAGAGGGCCATTCTGTGAAAATGAAGGGTAATTAAGCAAATATCTAAGCAAAACTGGGTTACTTGTCTGCAGATCCGCAGAGGATAAGGTACGCAAAGGACATGTCGTTTGTTCGAAGGCATTTGAACTGCGGGAGTGACTCCACGGTTTCACTTTGGATAGTGAGAACATAAATCTACCTCTAATTCTTTTTGTAATTTTGTTAAATAAGTATGATTATCTATTATGAACTGTTAAATGTGACATTTAATTTATTGATCAGGTATCTTTCTTCCGACAATTCTTCAATTCCGTCACTAAAGTTGATTACCAGGCACTGAGAGAAGGCTTTATCACCGTAAGTTGATTTAGATGCAACCTATTAATGTATCTATTTCAAATTAAGTATGGTATTAATTAATTTATTCAATTACGTCCCCAATTCCAGGCACATTTGACCCCTCAAAGTCATACGGGTTTGACTTTCGCAACTATATCAAGAGATCACTGGAAGAAGATTTTAAAGTGGTGGTAGAAATAAGGTTAATCCTGTTCTCTCTTTACATTTTTCCTTAATTAATTTTCTTCTTACTTGCTTAGCACATTAATCATATGCTATTTCTTTCATTGCAGTCCTTTTATTTGGATCTTTGCAGTATTATTTCTTCTCGCCAACAACCATGGTAGTTACTCCCCTCAGACAATCACAAGTTCATTAATTTCTCATCCGGTTTTTTATTTCCCACTTAAAAATTTTTTTTAAAAAAACTCTTAATCCTGCAAAAAATGGGAAAAATTCTAATTTCTTTTTTTCACATGATGAACAGGATGGTATTCATTTTTTTGGCTACCATTTATGCCTCTGATTGTAAGTATATTTTAGAAATCTACATATATGTTTATTTCTTTTTATAATTTGAGAAATTAAAATGGATGGGGGCATTCTCCAGGTGCTCCTTGTGGTGGGTACAAAGCTACAAGTGATCATAACAAGGATGGCTTTGAGGATTAAGGACAGGGGGCATGTGGGTCTGGGAAAACCGTTGGTTGGAGTTGGGGATGACCTCTTCTGGTTCAACCGCCCTCGTCTTCTTCTCTTTCTCATCCACTTTGTTCTTTTCACGGTATTAAAATTTCATATTTACTTTTTTTTTAGTTCGGTAAATAACATTTTTTTAAAAAAAATCTTACGATGTCGTTTTATGATTCTCTTTTACTACAGAATGCCTTTCAAATAGCCTTCTTTATGTTTACTTTGGTAAGCTTTCCTTCCCGTTTGTTTAATTTCCACGTGAAATATACCCAATTACATAATATATTTTTTAAAAATTATATATATAATTTTTCTCTCTCATTTAAATTATCATGATAACCGTTTCCTCGGTTCCTTTCTTTCAGTATAAATTTAAGCCCTCCAATTGCTTCCATAAGCGCCTCACCATCCGGCTTTCCACGGGGTGAGTATGTTCATGTGTACTTAGAATATAATAATTAATTAATTATTTAGTTAGGATTATCATCATTAATTATTTAGTAAGGTAGGATTCAGATGCCAATGTGTTTGATAGCGGGTGATTAAAACTGTCACGTGTATATTTGAATATTAATTACATTTAATAACGCTAAATACTTAACTACTTATATTTTTAAATAGATTAAGAATGAGTTTGGAAACGAAACAAATTTTGTATTAAATATTAAATATGATGAAAAAACTAGCTTTTATTTGTATTCTTTTTTTTTTTTTACAAATTAATTTTGGGCTTTTGCTAATACCACGCTACACCGCAGCGTCGTCGTACAGGTTTTATGCAGCTATGTGACGCTCCCACTCTATGCCTTGGTCACTCAGGTAAGAAAGAGAACATGTCAACATGTTCATACATAAGCATTGAATTCGTCTTTTCTTTGTTTCCTTTTTTTTTTTTTAATTCAATTTGCATTTTGTTGAAATTTCATTTCTTATTAAATTAATTGACAATAAATTATTTTAAAAATTTAGTGTTAGATTTACATTATGTAAAAATTTTTCTAAAAAATATTTCTCTCTAAAACCTTTAAATTCAAATCTTGTACTCAGGGATAATTACTTTTTTTTTTGTTTTGGTAAATAAAAAGAAAAAAATAATGTTTAAATATAATTTTTGGATTGTGCAGATGGGATCTACCATGAGGCCAATAGTGTTCGGCGATACAGTCGCCTCGGCCATCAAAAGCTGGCACCACTCTGCCAGGAAGAAAACGAGACACGGCAGCCATCAACCCACCCCTTTCTGCAGTCGGTCCCCCACTCCCCTCGGCGGCACCTCCCCCGTCCACATTCTCCAAGGCTTTGGCGGCGGTGCTGATGATGCCAACCACCTCGACCCCGAATGGGCCCAATCGTCACGGCAACAGAACACGGACAACGATCAAGAAGAACTTGAAATAACAGAAGAAGGACCAATAAGCTCCGCACAGCTTACTCCGCCACCAGCCGCTGCCACCGGCGATCATCAATAAATTGAAATTAGTCTATCCAACCTCTCCTTCCACTGCCATAGAAATGTAAATTAATTAATCATTTGATTCAAGCCTAGAACGAGGTTTCTAAAATTTAAGTTTTAGGTTATGGGATTTCTTCGTTTTATGAGTTAGGAAATGAAATTATTCTTTCTTCCAATAAATAGATAAATAAATAAGCTGTCACGCCCCAAAACCAAGCGTGTGATTGTCATATGACCCGACTTCGGGTCCGTAACCGACATTAGGAATCACCGATCCTAGCAAGCTTCCCTATAGCAAATCATACTAAATTGCTCATCTAATCAAATAAATATAAACCAAAACACAACATCCAGTACACAACCACCAGAACTTATCTGAGAGTACAAAAAGAACTACTCTAGAGTACAAACTAATAGATATATAAAAAGGGATGCCCGTATATCAATTAAATCCACAAACAATCGCTCTGACTCTGACACATTACTTGAGACGAGGATAGCAACTCAAATCTAGAATGATGATAAAATATGATCGCGAAATTCAGTGTATATAGGTGGTATCTAATCTATGCATGTTAGGATATGTATCACACATATACAGTGAACAGTAATATATCAAAACAAGTATACAATGATATCATTATAACCAATCACAAAATCACATCATTGAGCTCCGAGCACTCCCCACACGTTACGGCCCATCGTCCGCCGGCTGAATCCCTGGCATCCCAATCTCATCATGACAGTGCGCAATATGTCCGCAGCCCTTACCGCCTCATATGGGAACCAGACCTACTCACCACTAGACGTTACGGATCACTGTACTACAGCTGAGTTCCTATCGTCTCCCAAATCACATCACATGATATCATCTCACATATGAGTCAAAAATAGATATACATACATATATAGTTCTCATCTCGAAAACCAGTATCATCATATAAACATAGCTCACTGACAGTTCACAAACCATATAACACATATCTCAAGTGTAATATGTAATATTTCAACCCAAAACCCTTATCATGTACTCTATGTTTCATTTTGTATAAGTATGTTTAGTGGGGTGATTAGTGACTTAAGTTTAATTTTAGAAACTCCTTAATCTTTAAGGATAAGAAGGTTATTTTGCAATTAAAAAAAAAAAGAGAGAAGAAGAAGAACAAATGAATAAATAAAATAATAAAATATATATTGATCCATGAGCATCATGTTTCATGGGAATACCTAATAAATAGAAATAATAAAATGATAAAATAATATTAAAATAATAAAATAATATTTTTATTATTCCACCACCTATGCACCACCTCAAATGGAAAGCACCAATTCAAAAGAATTTATCAAAGCGTAAGTCAAGCACGACGTGAAAAAAACAAAAGAACAGAAAGAGAATAGAAAATAGGGAAAAGATGGGAGCTGGGAATAGAACGAAGTCAAAGAAATTTTAATCAAATTTCAAGTAAGTTTTTGAACAAATATTTCTCGTATTTTCAATTCAGCCATTTTTTAATTTCATTTAATCGGTTTGGATTTTGGTTAAGTGTTGTTTTTGTGGTGAGAATTCAAGGAAAAATTTCTACTAGTCCAGATTAAATTTTTATTAATTCATATTAATTTTGCTGATAAGGTGACTTAGTTAGTTTAGTAGAAACAATGTTAAATTGACATTAGAATTTGCCTAAACCCCAACTTAGAAGCTCGCCGACCTATTTACGGATTATTTTTTATAAAAAAATAACTATAACTCCTTTTGTAAACGTGAGCATACTCCAGTATACCTAACTTATTTTTGAGTATATATTAATATTTTGAGAATTTTTGGAGAGCGTGTGTAGTAAAACTTTTGACCTAAAGTAGATAGGGTAAAAAACGGCTAAATTATGAATACATCTCATGTATGCACTAGTATACTCATGCATTCATACACAATTCTAGCATGTCATTGATAACATATGTGGTTCCATTCTAGAAGAGACATACCGTCCAGTCAATGAGACCGATAGGACTAAATCTGGGCACACACAGTTTTAGCAGAGGTGAGTGGTCTTTCTTCTAAACTCAGTATTTTTATAAGACAACAAAACTAATAGTTTTCTTACAAATAAATGTTTTATTTCAAAACCAAAAGTTTTACTTTTCCAAATATACTTTTCAGTTTATATGCTATAATTATTTTGCTAAGTGAAATAGAAACATAAATCTCATTTTATATTGTATGTTATGTATATAAGTGTTGCAATTTACCTGAATGATTTGCTGGGTAGTCACATTACTGTAGTAATACTACATGAATTATTTGTTCGATGGGGCCTTAAAATACCAACGAGCCATGTGTGTTCGTTTATGGGGTGGTGTCCTATTGAACAAGTCTCATGACCAGTAACACCCAGTGGATTTTCATTATATTATATTTATGTCTACGTGCACATCAGACATCACCTTTAATTACGGAGTCGTTATGTTTTTGCTTCCATCTTTAACTCTTTTCTAATATTTTTACTATAGTTGGATGTAGGCTCAATAGATAAATTAGCTTTATTTCTAAATTATGATCAGTGAATTTTTATCTCACGATGTGTTATTTTATATTAGTTATGCTAGCTTTGTGAACTGTTTTTATTTATAGTATTATGTAACATATTCATGTTTCACTAGTTTTAGTTGGAAGACCATTCATTAGGATGCAAGTCTCACTACTTATTTATTTTTCAAGTTTTAACAATCGAGACTTGTAGGTGCATCACATGCATCCAGCACAATAGCATTTCGAGTCTAGAGAGGTTGAGCCCCACTCATGTTAATAATAACTAGTTTGGGTTGTTACTTGGGGAGTGAAAGTTAAATAGTTGTATTATATGTAGATATTATTTTGGAAAAGAGAAGTTATATAAAGCAATTATGTTTTTAGTTACGATAATGACTTAATTTTTCAGTTATGTTATGTCAGATGATGTTATGTTATTCAATTATTTGAATGTGAGTTATACAGTAGACTTAGCATGTACGATAGTCAAATAAGGTTTGGCTTTCTCCGATGAATCCCGAACATCAGAGATTGCTAAACCCTATTCCACTTTCACACCTCGCTCAAGTTACGGGGTGGGGTGTGACATAGCATATAACTAAAATACAGTTTACAAAACCAAATAATCATCATGCCATAAAACACAGTATGAAAAACACATGCATAGGTAGGGTATCATCACTGACAATACAGAAGTTGAGCTAAAAGAAAGCCTCAAGTTACCCTCACCCATCTCACAGGTCTGGGTGCACCTTCTCAAACATATCTGTAATCAAAACCACACAAAATCATCTCCAACACCAAAACCTGCACAAGAAACGGGCTCAATTTCCCAATTGTGTACAATAGGTATATACATGTTCTCTGCCAATTTCCCTATCAATTTCAGTCTACCATCTTAAACTTTTGTGAATTTGTTCCTCATTACCTGAGTATTTCGCAGAGGTTTGAACTTTCATTAATTAAGTAATTTTTGAGTTTTATTAGTTGACTAATCTAGCAATTTCTTTTCAAAATCCTTTCTACGAATTGAGTTGGTTGATTACATTGAATTTTTGGTTGAAATCGAGAGCTCAAGAAGTGTTTAATTTTGATTTTGGGCAACCGGGTTACAGTTTTAGAACCTATATCAACTGTTGAGTAGAGAAGATAGAATCAGAAGGTGTAATGGCCCTAATTTTCATCTTAATTGTGGAAATGTGTAAATTTAATAGGTCCAGGGTGTTAATGAACAAATTAAATGGTTTGGGGTGTTTTTATGAAGTTTGGAAAAGATGTGGGGCCAATCTCATAAATTCAGGGGCAATGGGGAGAGAATTGAGAAAAGGAAAGACCTAGTTGTAAGAGGCACTAAGTCTTGAGACCAATTTAAAATTTAAGAAGGGCCTAATTGCAAGAAAGTAAAATTTAGGAGGCCAGATCGAGACAGGGGGAGGATTTCGGCCAGAATTCGCCGAAGGTCCTCAAGACCAAATTCGCTTAAATGGGAGCAAGACAGCTAACAAAATTTTGGGTATTTGTATGTGGATGAAGGACGAGTTGGGAAGAGCAAGCAATTTGAGTGTTTGAGTGAAAAAAAGTGAGAAGTAGAGCTAGGGGAAGGTCATGACATCGACGCAAAATTTTGGAAAGATTTAGAGTTTCTAAACAAAATCTCTTCAATTAAAGCTGGGAAAGCAGCTCATGAGGCTCGAAATCTTAGTTTGGGAGCCTCGATTCATCCAAGTGAGCTTCAAATTTTTGAAATTTTGGATTTTTTTGGGTTTCGGGTGTTGCAGGGGATTTGGGTTCCTGCCAGGTGATGAAAAAGGGACCCAGATGGGTCCAGGTCCCGTACAGGGTCGATTTGAGTTGTTGGCCCAGACTCGGCCTAAAGGCGTTATACACCCGTGGCCCTGAAACGCAGGCCAGGCCAGACAATGGATGGGCTGAGTCGACTGTCTGGATCAACTCGGCCCAGTAACCGACTAGTGTTCATTAAAGATTTGACCGTCCAGTTCAGGGCTTTTTAGACCAATTCTCTGGGCGAGTGGATCAGTTTTTAATTCAGAGGGATGAGGGTTATCAAACCAAGTGGTTTGGAAAATTTTGGATGGCCGGTTCAAGATGAACCAGCTGATTTAGTGTAGCACCTTTGGATGGCCGATTCACCAGGTTTTGGGCCAGTTCTTGGGAGGTTGAACGGTTCTTGGTTCAACATGATAAAACCTAGATAGCCATGTAATTTGGTGATGTTTGGGTGTCTGGGTCGAGGTAAATTAGGCTCGGTTCAGTGTGTCGGTACTTAAGAATAGGCTTTTAGGCCGGTTCAGGCTGGTTCTTGGAGTTTTTGGGCCCTTTGAATCGATTTTGAGGGTTTCATGGCTGGTTCAGTTTGACTTGGTGTAGTTTCAGACCGGTTTAGGTTAGTTTGTGAATTTTGTAGGTCAGTTCGCTATGATTCGAGGATTGTGGAGGCTGGTTCATTATTGTTAAGGGTGGTTGAGTAG